ATTCCCTCCCTCAGTTCAATCCAAGTCATCCTTGTTCCTTCACTGCTCTTTGGCAAAGAAACCGATGTCCAGCCGAGCACCTTCAAGTGGCTTTTCTCTGCTGCCTATGTATTTTCCATGTCGGTCTTGTTCTTCCCATTGCCCTTCCAATCTTCCTCTTCCCTGACTGCCTGTCCCGGACTCGGGGTGCAGGGGAGCGCTCTGGCTGCACCCAGGCTGCCAGGCAGGGACCCCCCTGGGAGTGGGTGTCCAAATCTGCTCCCCGCTGCCTCTTCCCAAGCACTCACCTTTCTGCTTCCTCTTCCATCAAGTTTGTCCCTTTTCCCTCTTCACTCCATGTAGAGTTTGGAGCAATGAGTCTTGTCAACCCTCCCCTTTCTCTCTCCAGCTTTTTTCCCAGCTGTTTCAATGCGGTATGTATTTATTTATAGCAAATAACAGCGTTTAATATTCAGTGTGGATTGTTTGTCGAATGAAGCACTAGCTCAGCATTGTTAATATATCCAAAAGCGTTGAAAACCTGGTTTTGCTTGTTGTGTTTCGATTTAGGAATTGTTTGGGAACTCTAGAACGCAAAATACATTCTAAGGTAGTTTAGATGGGGAGGGTGAAGATGGATAATTGGGAAAATAAGTTACTGTTAATTGAGCTGTGAAGAGGAGATCAGACCCATGACTATGTTTGTTTGGCAAACTCAGGTCACGCTTCAAATTTTTGTGCCCACTAGATAAGCAGAAAAGTGCAAAGGCAACTTGTCCGAGTAGCTTATGATATTGAAGAAGGTTCAAAAGACTTGCATGCTCGGACTCGGTCAAGTAGTTAAAAAATAATTAAACTTTCAGAAAGTATTATATCAGAAGGGAACGAGGAAGAGTTTCCAAAGACACTCGTGCCTGTTACCATTGACTTTCATCTGGGACTGACCTGCCAGTGCACATTGGCTTGGTTTTTCTTCACAGGTACAATAAAAAGGTATATATTTATTTTACAGTTGAATGGAATCTAGTAGTCAGGACTAATGTTCATTGTCTGCATCCTAGATCTGTTTTTCTAATGCAGTGTTAGACATGAAGCATGAAGCTACTTGGTTTTGTCTTGTCTATGTCAGCCAATGATAGATGAATCGCAAGTGTCAAAGTTGGAATCCTGATTACATCTGAGCTAGGCATACAGCCATGCACACTGCTCATAAATGTAACTGGTGCTTCCCAGGGCAGAGCTGAGCAAATTTCATTATCAGAGTTGATAGTGAAGAAGAAATTAGATGGAAAACTGAATTAGAATCGGCACTTTTATAAGTGAAAGGTATTAAATGGCCAAAAAAATCAGTGATTTTGCAGTGGGGAAGGGGGACAGCCTTGGCTAACTGCCCACCCTGTTTCAGTGATGAAATGAAGGGAAAAATGAGATGTAAAGTAATATAAAACAAATAAGGGAAGCAGACAGCAATCAACTTCAAATGAGAGTTATGAAGTGTAAAAAATTAATAAGGAAGCAATAGCCAAAGGAAAAGAAAAATGTAAGGGTTGGAGCGCTTGGAGAGGCTGATAAAGAGCAGAAGTTGAGGGGAACTCTTTGTGGTGGGATAAGAACCGTTACTAGACGCAGCTGGTAAAGCTGCTAGTGATGACGGCAGAGAACTGGGAAGGCGACATCATTCATTAGCAATGCTTAATATTAGAAATTAGCATTTTAAAGTTCAGCAGGTCTAGACACCTTGTATCAGCATTTCTAAGGGGGGATGCCTGGGGCAGTCCCCGACCTGCTGCTGCTGAGGATGGCGGGAGGGACAGGACGGGCGGGTGAGGCACTTCGCTGGTGTGACACCCCCCGGGAAGCGATGACGGAGGAGACGGGTGTTAATGAAGGAGCGTAGCATAAGTCACTTAATTCTGTCTTGGTTTTCAGTTTTCTTTGGGATTAAGAGTGAACTGAGTGTATCTGGGTCCCTGCAAAGCTTGATGCGTTCTGACACTGGGGAAGTGGTTGTTCAAAGAGAACCGTAATGAAATGGGGATGCTTGTAGAAGGGTTCTGCTGGGACCGATACGATCCAGTGGTTCCAAATCACTGGTGAAAATAGACACAAAATCACTACTGGAGAAAAAAAATCACTGAAATGTTAACATGACAAAAATATGCATACGCAGGACTAGAGTTCCATGTGTGTTCCCAGTGCAGTCCCAGGGTAAAAGACTAATGAATAAGAATGTGTTCTTGGTTTTAATTACCGTTAGCAGTACGTGATTATAGTTCTGTATGTCTCAGCTGTGAGAGTTGGGGATTTTGGATGCCATTTGCATATTTACATTTTAAAAGAAAAACTGAGTAATTGAAATGGATGCAAAAAAAAGATTCGAAAATTACTGGTGGAGTGTGAAAATGCCTTCGAACGAGAGAGAAAACTCAGTTGGCTGAGTTTATCTACCAAAATTGAGAATGTCTTGATTATAGTGCACAAGTACCTTCATCGGGAGAAAATACTGAACATTGCAGCTCTCTGATCTTAAAAAGAGCAACACGAGAATCACTGACTGGCGATCGAAGCCAGGCAAATTCAAATTGGAAAAAGGCACAAATTCTTAAGAGAGAATAACTGTGTAATTTAGGAATGTTTCTCCAAAAACTGTGAACAATAAAAGTTATGATATTTATGCAAATAGCTTTTTCATGGCTTTTTCTTCTTTCTAGAAGTGTCCTTAAAGAGGGGGAAGCAGAGGAAAAGAGGCCCCTGAGAAAGTTTAGGCAGCGTGGCCCACCCCGCACAGGGCTGGGGAGCTGCGTCCGAGCCCGGCAGGGCTGCGGGAGCCCAGGAGCTGACCTGCGGCGGGACAGGATGGGAACTTTCTCGGGTGCTTGCTGCATATGTTGCCTAAGGATGCGATGTTGCCTTGGGAATTTTTCCATCGTGTTAATACCTTGAAAGTTTCTGTGGTCTTGGAGAAGTTTCTACACCGTGCGGTATCTGAACACTAAGTTTAGTATGTTTCCATGCTATATAAATGAAAAACAAAAAAGGTATCTGCACACAAATCTCATTCTTGGGGGTAAATGTAGGGTGGGAATTGCCTTCCCTCTCCTTTACCCGCCCTCCCAGGACTGCCCAAGGCTGTTGCCTAATCTTGCTATCTTTGGGTCGGGCAGAAACTTAGCTTGGATGATGTGAGTCACGGGCACCTTTCCTCCGGGCTGCAGTGAGCGAGTGCTCTGGCGCGGTGGGGTCTGCTGAAGAAAAAGTTCTGCCACGTGTAGGGGGTGTGTGAGGTGCAGCTGGGCTGCCCCGGGCTCGCCCTCATTCAGAGCATCTCAACGGGGACATCCCCAAGGAGACACCACATTCCACTTCCAGTTCTTCAGGTGTTTGCCTGTGGATCTCCATGTGGTAGCTGGCAACAAAACACAACCTTTGGAAGCAGGGAGGTATTTTGCCTGATGAACTAAGCCCTGGAGAAGTCTTCTCCAGTGATTGTAGGGGGAACAGAAGGCGAGGTAGCCAAGCTTGGCCTTTTGTGTATCATGGTAAAAGTGTAACTGTTTATGTGCATGATTAATATTTGATTGTGCTTGGAACATGGGAACATGCTGACAACATTTATATCACAATTGTATGCATTTAATAAGCATCTCCTTTGAATTATTAGTTAATGTACAGATCCTCCAAAAGTATTTTTGTTATAAACCCCATAATTTATCTAAGTACAAGCTGCAAGTTCGTAAATACAGCATTAAGAAGGGAGCTGTTGCATAGCTGGTTTAAGAAAATATCCTTTGTGAGTAAGATACATAGGCTTATTTGGACAGGATTAGCTGCTGGGAGGAGGGCTTCTCCAAGTTATATACTTCTTAGCTGCAGCAGACAGCGAATATAATTTCTTAGTTTGTCCTTCTTGTCGGTAGAAATCAGTTTGACCTGACTGTGCTGTCTCATTCGAGTATCTCCTCAGCCCATTGTTCACTGGAGGCAGATTTATGAAGCGTCTTCACAGGAATAAGGCTGGAAGTGACATTTTGATTGAAAGAAGAGCTGGATTAACAACTAGGATGCCGGTATGCTTACTAAAAAGGAGACACTGAAAATACATGGCCTGAGAAAACTTGTAAGCGATCTTTTGCTTCGCTCGGTGCACGGCAAGCGCGAGTCGCGATGGCCTGGCAGTGCCTCTGTTGGCTGAGCACGGCAGGCAGGGACGCGGGGCCATCGCTGACGTCCTGCAGCTCAGGCAGGTGCTGCCTGGGGAAGGGCAGAGTAGCACAGCAGGGAGGCAGAGTCTGCAGCCGGGAAGTGCCGACCGCTGGAGTGGTTGAGCACAGAGACATGTTCCATTTGCTGCATCTTCTGTTATGGCCGGGGTCAGGCGTAGCAGCTGTCAAGGTGGTGCTCTGTGAGGGCTGCTTTGTGTACGTCCCCAAGTGGAAGATTGTGTGTTGCGTCCTTGTGTGTGTACGCACGCACGGAAACTGCAGGAAATGTCTGTAAACTGAGAAAGGCACGATTAACTGTGCCCTTAACAAGAACACTTGCTGGCTGTTTATCTATTGCTGACTGACTCTGCAGATTAAATTTGCAAGAACAGCAATAAGGAGTATGATGGGAGGGAACTTAACCTCAAAGAAACTCAGCAGCTGACACTTTGGGTGTTTGAATTACATCTGAATCAAGCTCTTAATTAAATCTTAGCAATGTCAAAAGCTCAAGGCAGCAATTGCAACTCATGTCCCCTTCCCCCCCTTCGTATTGCTAAATTATCTATTGCAATGTGCAGCGCATCCGTGTCACTACATTAAATTTGTACCCAAAGAGGGGAGATTAGGCAGTAAAGCCGCAGGATGAACAGTACGTAGCCAGGCATATCTTCTTGGCTTCTTTCGCTGTCGTTGGGTGTTTTTAAAAAGTGTTTCCAAATCTGAGTGAAACTGATTCCAGATGTGCTTATTTGAAGGATATAAAAGTCACGCTAGCACCACGACTATCTGAATTCTGTGCTGTACTCGAATAGATAACTAGTCCCATCTTAAACACAGAAGTGCTATAAACAGTAAAAAGGCCACAGGCAAAGGTTTTAGTGCTTCGTTCCCATTAGCATCCTTTTTTGCCAAGTATTTTAGACTAACGTAGTTAGAGAATTCCTCTGACGCGCCAGCACACTGAACCAGAGGTGCCTGGTACGACGTGGGCCGCTTGTCGGGACTGTCGGGGCTGGATCCATCCGTGGGCCTCTCGCCGATGTACAGCAGGCTGCGCTCTTCCATGTCTTGCTCCGTTTTGAAAAGTTCGTACTCGGTGTGGGGCAGCTTGATGCCCAAAGCCAAACATCCGTTGGTGGGCGTTATATCCTGCTCCACGCCAGCACTCCAGGAGCTTGTCAGCCCGCAGCTTCCAGGTTCTGAGGAGTTCAGCATCATCACCGTCACCTGGTCCATCGGTGTCACCCGAGCCTGGGTGACTTTAAAAGCCAGCTCTGTGCCACCTCTCACTTTGGAGGAGGGGATGCCTTGGGTGTAATGCCCAGAGGCGTAGATGGTGAACGTCGGCTGTTTGCAGAGCGGGTCGGAGTAGTGATAGTAGTAGCCTTCCCAGGTGTGGTTGTTGCCGTGGAAGATGAAGTACCTGGTGAGGAAGAGCACGGCAGGTCGGACCTCGCAGTGGGTGCTCACCCAGCTGCCGCTGAGCTGCATTGGCAGCTGAGCTCTCACGGGGAGGATGGGTGGGTGGTGCTCGTCAGCTCTGTATATAATCCCACAGGCAGGGCAAGGGTGCACGTGGTGCTGCAAAAGACAAAAAAACCCCACGTTTTTGTAAACTGATAAGCAAAAAAACTCCTGTCAGAATATTAAAAAAGCTCTTAACTCCCCTCTTCTGCAAGAGGGGTTTGACTGCAGTGAACTTGGCCCAAGACATCCAAGCAGATGAAGCGAGATGAAGCGCTGCCCTGGCTCCTTGCTGTTTTAGTCCTCCGGGAGGGAGCGAGGTCCGTGCCCGGAGGCTGCGCGCTGGCCTGTGCCAGGGCTGCTGGGGACAGGCTGCGGGGCGGAGGACGGGGCAAAGGCACAGCCACGGGGAGGGCAGGGAACGCTCCCTTGGGCCATCCAGGTTGTTCCCCCACGAGTTTTTCTGCTGCGAGCTGCTGCGCTTACCCCCGGGTGAGGACGAGGGTGCTGGGAGATGTCAGCTACACCCCTGCATTTCTGCATCGATTCGGAAAAAAATGATGCGGTCTTTTCAGCAACGGAAAAGGCCGTGAGACTGTACCGTGGGGAGCCTTCTGTGGGCGGACGACACGGCAGTGACGGCAGCCTC